TATCGTACCAAGAATATAGACTCTGTTCTAATTTGTCTCCTGCAAGCTACATTTCTGACTGGAAAATTCATGGAAATGGAGAAAATAGTTGAATTAGACAAACTAATTAAAAAGCATACCTTCAATTATGATGTCAAAAGGTATTTGGCTTGTCAAATATCATATCCTGCATTAAAGGCAAACCTTAGTATAATATTCCCCAGGGCAAAACCTTTTACATGATATACTTACTAGGTTTATTTGGGGTTCACTTTTCTGTAGTGGACTTGAATGAAGTAAATCAGACATAGTTTTTCTCATAGAATATAATCATTATGCTCTTCAGAAAACACTAGTAAGTATGTTTATGAATTGTGTCATTTCAGGTAATTTAGGCTTCACTGGACTATGGACCAAGGGCAGAATGTCACTATACTTATCCTCCTGGGACTTTCCCACGGCAAGAATATTGAAATCTTTTGCTTTGTATTAATTTTATTTGTTACATTGCTATTTGGCTGGGAAATGTGCTCATAGTCATTTCTATCATGTGCACGCAGCTGATCGACCAGCCCATGTACTTCTTCCTCAATTGTCTCTCACTCTCTGACCTTTGCTACACCTCCACAGTGACACCCAAGCTAATGACTGACTTATTGTCGAAAAGAAAACTTATTTGTTACAATAATTGCATGGTGCAGCTCTTTACCACCCATTTATTTGGAGGTGTTGAGCCCTTCATCCTCACAGGCATGGCCTATGACTGCTTTGTGGCCATCTGCAGAACACTGCACTACGTTTTCATCATGAGCAGGCAATTGTGTAACACGATCCTCATGGCATGCTACACTCTGCCATCTTCTTACCCTTCTGTGGGCTCAATGAGGTAGATCACTACTTCTGCGATGTGTACCCTTTGCTGAAACTGACCTGTTCTGACACACACATAATAGGTCTCTTAGTCGTTGCTAACTCAGGCTTCATTGCTTTGGTGACCTTTGTTGTGTTGATGCTGTCTTACTTGTTCATACTGTACACCCTTCGGGCACACTCGGCAGCGAGTCGCAGCAAAGCCCTTTCCACCTGCAGTTCTCATGTAACTGTGGTCGTGCTGTTTTTTGCACCTGCATTATTCATTTACATTAGACCTGCCATGACGTTCCCTGAAGATAAAGTGTTTGCTCTTTTTTATACCATCATCGCCCCCATGTTCAACCCTCTGATCTACACACTGAGAAACATGGAGATGAAGAATGCCATGAGGAAAGTTTGGTGTCATCACATCCTTCTGAGAAACAAGTAAATCTCTAAGTTATTTCTACTTCTTGTGGCACAGCTCCAAGAGACTCAAGCACAAGGAAAATCACTCTCACCTTCCTGTCATTGTTCAGAAATATAAATGGGCAAACTCTTTCTTTCTTTCTTTCTTTCTTTCTTTCTTTCTTTCTTTCTTTCTTTCTTTCTTTTTCTTTCTCTCTTTCCTTCTTTCTTTCTTTTGGTGGTACCAGTGATAAAACTCAAGACCTCACTTGTGCATGGCATGTAAGCACTTCATCCACTGAGATATTTCCTCAGCCCTAAATTATTTTTTTCTTTCTGCTGCTTTATGTTTCCCTAATGGCACACCATCAGCAGATTAAGGATTATTCCTAGTTATGTGTTTATCTTCTTTGCTTGTTAAGGTTAAACACATATTATGAAATTACCAAATTTATTTTAAAAATAAAGAATTTTATCATATGGTTCTGAAAAATAAGTAGATTCTGCACTTTATTGCCTTAAATGTAACAAGACCTTTGAACTGTACGATTTCTTGTGGAAATATATGATAGTACAGGAAAATGCATGTAGCAGTGTGTGCAGTTTGTGAAATTTTGCAAAGTGGGCACCATCATCTAATCAACGCCCTGAGTATGGGTAGCAGTTACCAGTATGCTGGAGGTCCTCCTCATTTCTGTAAATAATTCCTATACCTCAGCATTAACCACAATCGTCTTCAATGCCAATTGGTTTTACCTGTTCCTGTGCTCTGTAGACTAAGACTGTTACAGATTATGCTCTTTGTGTATTTCCTTTTCATTATTGTTGTGAAAGTTTCTTCTTTAAGTTTGTGAATGTGATATTCTTTTTAATGAGTTCTGTGATTGTATAATCGTGAACCTTTATGTTCTTTTGTGACTATCCATTTGTGAAGTTTTTATTTACAAAGTCTGTGCATATTGCTGTTTTGCATATTTCAGAATGTGTCTTCTTGAATACAGTCTATGTCTTCTATTATTTCTTCATTGCACTGTAAATAAGAAAATGTGCTAACAAAATTATTTAACCTATTTTAATACTTTTCCCTAAGATAGTCCTACCTTGAAAGACAATACAGTGAAGAGTAAAAAAGAAATAATTTTTCACAGGAAAATGTTAGAATGAGTGTCTTAAAAGGCTTGAAAAGAGTAAAACTTCCTCCTAGCACTGCTGAAATCTGTACAGTGAGATTGTATGGGGTATGACATGCTGACTGACGTAAGATGCCTGCCCATTGGTGGTATGAAAGAGTTGTGAAGGACAGCGTTTACCCAATGGAGTAAAATTAGACATAAATAAAATACCCTCCCCGGTATGACCTCAGGCCTTGCCTGATGAAGTAATGTTTGCTACATTTATAGATAGGTGGTCGCTAATAAAAAAGAAAAAAAGGTCTCACAGGATCTTCTCTGTAGCCCTCGGTGTTGCTCGCCAAGGGCAGTAGTCAATGCTCAGTTTAGACTGAAGGAAAGAAAAATGGGCTTCATGTACTCCTGGTGAAGGCCACTCACGCACATACGTGCATACA